AAGCATGTATACAAAAAAAAAGAGAAAAACTTCCATCAATGCAAAGGACAACGACGCATTGAGGCTAAAAGGTCAGCGCCCGGACAGCAAATATTTATTTAAATAAGAGTCAAGTGAAAAACAACAAAAAATCATATCAAACTCGCAAGAGAAACAAAAAAAGAGGCAAAAATTATATATTAAAACTGTACTGAGAACTCTGGCCTGCCCTGGGGATTCGATTAAAGCATTTTTGCAAACGCAACGCGCACCTTTGGGCATTAATTTTTAATTTTCATTACAAAGGCCTCCAGCCAAAAAGAGGCTCACTTGCTGCTGGGCTGCTGGGTTGCCCGATGTCGTGGGAATGGCAATTATCTTGCGAAAAAAAACAGCAAAAGGCCTTCGCCTCGAGTGGGGTAAATAAATTAGTACAATTATATTGAATTGTCTGATTGATTTGTCTTCCATGCACGAGCCGATTTTCCCTTTTTGCTGGCCTAATTGGCATTTTCTCTGGCCGTTCCGCTTGCTGATGCTGCTGCTGACGCTTGGGGTGGTGGCCGCTGGCAATGTTCTGCATTAATTTATGTTTTTTCATAAGATGCCGGCTGCTGATGTAATAAACGCATAAAGGATATTAATGAGCTGCTGTTTGCTTATCCTCTCCCCATGCTACCCACTCTACCGCTCACACGCTCCGCCTCTTGTAAGATTTGCTTTTCTTTCAGCTGAAAAGGCAACTAATTGCTTACTTCCATAACACAGAGGAGGAGCGGGTGAAGGAGTAAAGAGAGCAAAACTTATTGCTCATGCTGCCAGGCACTGTTCTCGCATATTTCACAAATTGCGCATACGACATGTTAAACGTCTCGCACGCACATGCAAGCAAACACACGCTAACAGTCAGGCCAAAGGAAGTCACCGAAGAGCGCATTATCAGGCTATAGCTTTGGGAGGCAGGCAGGTTGCTGTTGTTATTGTACCGAGCACTCCATTCCGGGAGGTATCAGGATTTTGGTGTGGGAGTTGTAACAAGGAAAGGGAAGAAGAAGCCGCATCGAGATGTGTTTTATTAGGGCTCTTGATCGGTATCAATAGCAGACGATTTCGACATCTGCTGCTGAGGGTTACGAAGGGTAAACCTTCACATAATCATAGCCAAAGTCTCATATGACTTCACTTCTTCCGCTCGATAAAGAAGAGCATCTAATGCTTCGTTCTTCAGAATACTTCCTGCATGTTGATGTTTGCCTCTGCTGCTGCCTCTCGTGCTCTGGTTGCCTGCATGCCTTTGTCATAATTCAACTTTTATTTACACACACACACAAGCACAAGCACAAACACAGGCACGCACACAATGAAAGTGAAACCTTCCTTTTGAGTGGCGCTAAAAGTATGCCGCGTGGTGTAATAACACGCGTCGACGCCGAGGAGAAGTTGAATGTGAAGACGACGAGGACAGGGACAGGGCTGGAGCTGGGTCTGCTGCTGCTTCTGTGGCAGTGACAGCAGCGGTGCTTATGCTTGTCAGACGCATGCTTATGATATATCACACGGACATACACACACACACACACACACACACACACACAGGCAGAGTGAAAGGGATTGTTGTCGCGCTCTGCTTAAAGCCCTGAAATCGCAGCAGTCCTCCGCAGCATGGTATCCTCCGCCTTCGTGTCGCCTGATAAGAGACTGTCTGTTAAATTCGCACTACGTCTATCTGTCGCCTGCATGCGCTGCGCTGACTGACTGCAGCTGAATATATACACCACATAATATATATTATTTATATTTTATTTTGAAATTTATGCCAGCTGCGAGCATTTGCGCCATCCCGCTTACCCACTCCTTATCCGGAGAGTTATGCGTCTTTGACTTTATTGAGCATGAGAATTGCACAATGCATAAGGACAGGGGCCATGAGCCGTGGCCATGGAATTCCCATTCCCATTCCCATTTCCACTCCCATTCCCATTCCCGTTCTTACACTCAATCCCAGCAGCAGTCCCATCGCCAGTCCCAGTCGCATTCCCCGTTCCATTACCATATGGGAATGTTCTTTGGGTTTTTATGCGGCGTTAAATCTTGAGGAAATTGTGTCACATTATGATGAACATTTATGGCAAAGTTGAGCATTTTGCCCATAAATTTGTGAGCCTTGATGATGCCCCATCCTGAGTGGGTGTCTGGCAGTTTGGTTGGATGGATGGGTGCGGATGTGGCTATGGATGTGATATGCGTGAAGGCTCCGACATAACGATGATGGAGTGGCTGCAGTAATTTGACAAGACCTCAAATCTTCAGAGACGCTCGTGTCTGGGCCAGGTAATAGGTGGGCCGCCCATTTTGGGCAACACGAAACACCTGACCGAAGAAACCAATCAATAGTCAAATAAGAAAATCCCCCCCCCCCCCCCCCCCCCCCCCCCACCAAGAAAAAAAAAGAATAAAAGAACACCAC